TGCTTTCTAGTGAGTTCGCTCTTTCCTCAGTACGAATACTGCATATTGATGGATAATGGCTTGGAGGGCAAGTAAAAGGCTCAAATAACTTGTTCCATTGCTATACACAAACATACAAACAAGTTTACTCGAGTATTTGCTTGTTCACCAAGCTATGCACTTTAAATACCAATAACGGATATGCAAAACAAAACGAAATATCACAAATAAATCAAACATTTTATTTCGTCACAATCAGTTTTATATGCACACATACATACGTATGTACGTACTATGCATGTTGGCCTGAGTCGATTAGTTTCAATTTCTTTAGTTAACAGTTAATTATGTACTTGTAGTTTGGTTCAATCTTTGGTCAATGAACTGATCTCGCCTGAGACACATACTTTAAAGGTATTATTGTTTATTTTTCATTGCAAATTAATTTCATTTGAGTTAAAAAATATTGAAAAATTTACAATAAAAAAAATAAAAGAAGTTGTTGGACACTTGTTTATACACTTTCACACATACATATGAATATTTAAAGCTGTTTATGAACTGCTCACTTCAACCTTTTACTATGGCCTAACTAAAATTCATAGAACCCCAGTAGGAAAATTTTACAAATTAATATATCTGGGCAATCCATAAAAAAACATCCATAACTAAAATTAAATATTTGGTTCTATATCAAACTATTCCTAGGCAAAATTTGGCTCCTTAGTCTAATTATTGTGCTCCTATTTTTTCATTGAGTGTTTTTTTTTGCCATGTAGTTTTCAATAAGGAATAAAACGCATATAACTTAATTCTATGACCCAGAAATTTAGCTTTATTATACTAAATTCAAGGATCAGCCATTATGTTTTAAAAATGAATAAATTTGCAGCTTGGGCCGTATGTCAATAATAACGAGCCGCATATCCTCTGCCAAGACGTCAATTACCTTCGTCTTATCAGCGTAGACCCCACAAGAAATAGTCCAGCGGTGCTTGAATCCACGATATTGGAGTCAATGCCAAAGTCCAAGGAAAAGTGCATATGCGCTTACCAAAAGTTTCCATTAATAAGTCGTCCATATCAACATCCTTCAAATCAGTCAAAAAAGTCATTATCTGGGCTCGAGAGCCATCGTCATGGTCTATAGCACTATATACAGTTGGCGCTTTGTAACCAATGAAGCGATTTTCGGCCGCGCTCCTCCTCAAATTTGTGGTTTTTGCGTCTTAATGTTTTGCCAACAAATGGAGGAACCTACAATTTATACCAAGACGCCCCTGAACGGCAGATGGTTTTGTATGAGGAGCCTTATTTCTTGTCAGAAATACACTCGGAGGAGTTGACATTCCCTGATGAGGGGCGGCCGCAGTTAGAAAGTTTCACTTTTTTTTTTAATTTATTAATTTTCCATTAGTTTTGGATGGTAGTCGTACAAGGAGTTGAAAATAACCTAACTATTCGACTACCGTGTCCGTAAATATAACCGTAACGCTATGGTCTGTTTAATTTTTGAAATAATATGAATAAATGATTCCCTCTGTCTATAGAGCACATCAGATAATGATTTTTTCAGAACTTAACGGCGTTTCAACAATGGCTCGTGGAGTGTCATCACTCCAAGTGCGATAATTTTGTTTAAAAAACATCCCTTATATAATGCAACAGCTATGTTCACATTTCAACGCACATGCCATTCACAGAAAGGTCATTCAATTTCTTAATTGAACAAACAAAGATCCGTAATGATTATGGTGAAATTCTATTTATTTCCGGGACAGGTTTTCAATGTCTGTTTAGATCGATTGTTCGATCTTACGATTAGAAGGGCAATGGTAATGGTACTCTTATTTTATTTGTATTATATTTGTGTTGCGCGAATGTCGCCATTGAATCATGTCGTTGACTTTATAAAAAACCAACAAGAATACCACCCTTTGGTATGTAGCGACTTGAAAGCCATAACACAATATTTGACTCAAAACATGTCCTATACATCATGCTAGTGATCAAGTTTAATAAATGTGAAATGAGCAAACCAGGTTTAACAATTTTTGAATGATATTTTTAGACATCTTGGTTTAAGGTTTCCAAAACAGTCACAGTATAAGAATGACGTAAACTCTCATGTAGATCATATCATATAGCAAGATGATCAGGCAAGGGTTCGTCCAAAACTCTTTTAAGGCAATTAAAATACTATTTATATATAATTGGCGCTTTGTAACCGCTGAATCGATTTTTCGGGCGGCGAGCTCCTTCTGTGGTTTTTGCGTCTTGATGTTTTTCCAACAAATGGAGGGACCTGCAGTTTATACAGTTTATGCTTCTTAACAGACAACGAGCTCCAGCTGCCTCGAGAGACCCGCGTGACCTTGACAGAGCTTAGGTCTGGATACTGTAGCAGGTTTAGCTCCTACCGATCCAGACTCGATCCCAGCAAATTCAACGTATGCTCTGCATGTGGAGGGTCTCCGCTCGATACTAACCACCTCTTCATATGCCCCCTTAAACCGACTCATCTAACCCCCTCTCGCTCTGGTCCAATCCCGTCGAAACAGCACGTTTCCTGGACCTCCCACTAGATGTCATCGCCGACATAGATTGATTAAACCTGTACCTAAGCGGGGTTAGCGAACCGCTACCACAACAACATCAACACATTGACGTTGTTACGATAGCCAGTTCTATGCGCCGGAGTCACGCCTTTCCCTACAACAACAATAATATCAACAACAATAGTAACTCAGTTCCTGTGATCAGCACCTAACGAGACCTCCCGCGGCTCCTTACAACAACGGTTAATCCCAAGAATCATTTGAGAATAAAAATTGCATAACAACAGTTTTTGGTAGTTTGAAACTTTATTTGTAATTGTTGGTGATTTCGTTCTTTTACAATTTTCTGTATTCGAAACAAATCGGATCGTACGATTTGACGATATATCGATTTATTTTATGTCTCTTACATACATACTTGTATATTTATTGTTGATTATATGTTATGTATGTATTTCAAATTGCAATTGTATTACATTAGAATCGTTATTTATGTAGGTATGTATGTATGTATGTATGTGTATTTGATTTTCTATTTTGCAGCATACAATTGCTTGTTTTTTGTTTAACTTTTGCACTTCTCTCCTCCTCTTCTTATGCGTCTTTTATCATTGTCATTTTACTACTAATCTTTGCATGGCAAATTTCTGTTTTGCTCTCAACAATTATGGGACATTTGCATATTTATTTCTTTGTTTTTTTAACTTAATATTTTCAGTAGCCCTTCTTTTCACATTTATTTTCATTTTTTTCTTTCTATTTTTTTAAAAGTGCAGAGTTTTCTTTTGGTTTTCAAATGATTTGCATTAGAGTTTGGAGTGATTTCAAGTGGCTAAGTTTCGTTTTTATTATTTTATTGTGTTTTATTTTATTTTTGTTTAAGTGAATATGAGTTTTATTATAAGAAAACTTTTACACTGGAATTTCTTCTGGAGTAATTTATGTCTTTATAATCTCTTTAATGTAATGTAAATTCGAAGAACTGAACAATCATTTAAATGTAATGTATATATATTATATTATATATATATGTATATATACGTGAAGGTGTTATAATTAAATTGTGTAATGTAAGGGGAGGAAGGTACAAAAAGAAGAGATTGAAATGTATTGTTTATTTTTATTATTATTACTTTATTGTTGTTGGTTTTTTTTTTATATATGATACGCTATAAAATGATTCGTTCATATGATTTTGGTATAAAAATTATAAATGAAAACCAGTTACTTTTAATACATAATTTTTTTGAGAGACAGACATAGTTTACTTCAGTTTCAAGAAAAAAAAGAAATGCATTTTTCTATAATAATATTAATAGAAGTATATATTTTATAGATTTTTTTTTTGTTTTTTTGTATAACTAACTTTATGCTCTGCCCGTTTTTATAATAATTGATTAATCGAACATTCATAAGTATAATTGTATAAGTATGAGCAGACTAACTTTAAGAGTTTCATATTTTTGACTTCGAAAACAAAGTGTAAATATATTTCATTATTTTCGTTATATTTTATGAATTATTTATTTATTTATTTATTTAGCTTAACATGCCATATATGTGTGTATTATATGCATATAGCTCTCATAAGTATGTGTGTTCGTGTCTATGTGTTTATTTTTTTTTTTGTAAATATATACGGCAAAAGTACTTAATAATACAAAATAATATACAACATTTTGCTATATTTAAAATGCATTCTTCGCATGGGTTCGTGTTTACTTTTTTATTGATTTTTTTTTTTACAACTTTACTTGGACAAAATCTATTTTTGCTTTACTTATTATGTATATTGTAATATTTCGTTTGTATTTTTATTTTATTTTTTTAAATGGCAGTTTAAAACCTTTCAACATCATAGTCATTTCTTTCAGTGGCTGTCATTTATTTCACATTCTTTTGTTCGACTATTTTTATCTCCAACGGTTTGTTTATTTTCATTAAGCGTGTGGATTATAATTATTTTTCATAGCTTAGAATATTAATAATTTTTAGCTTTTCATTTTATTATTCATTTTGCTTAAATTTCAAAATTTCTTATAATTTAATAAAATTCTGTTAATGGAAAAAAAAAATCAAAATATAAAAATTTGGCAGTCATTTTAACACAAAAAAAAAACCAACACCCAAATGTATATGTTTATTACTTGAGCAATTTTATGCGTGCCAAAGTTTAAATTTAAATTCATTATATTTTTTGACATTTTTTGCGAACACAAAAATGAAATTAAAAAATTTATTTATTAAATTTCATAAAACAACCTTCAGATTTCTACTGATATAATTTTTAGTTTATTTTGCAAGCGAAGCTGTTTTTTTTATGCAGAAATGTCATATGGAGAGGTTATGTGTCTTCAAATTTTTTGGTTAGACCGCTGAAGGAATCGTTTCTGTTGTTTTAAAAACAGTGATATATGAGAAACAATTTTTTTTTTCAAAATTGTAGTGAAAATTAAATATTTTGAAATTTGTAAAATTTTGAAAGTATAACATTTATTTTTATTTCAAATAAGTTAATAGTTTCAACACTAAAATGGTAATGAAGAGAGTGTATAATATGTATATTAACACCCATTTATGAAAGTTGTTTTCATTTGCCTGACTTTTACTAACAATTTCTCAATTATATGATTTGCGAAGACACTTTCGACTATTTTTTCCTTTTTAATTTTTTTATTAAAATTTTTCAACTCTGCAGCACGCTTGGGTAGTTTCACACTTACTGTATACAATAAAAATGCATTTCTTTACATATATTTTATAATTATATTTAATTATAACTTATTTGCAGCTGCATTAGATAAACATACAGTGGCAATCATAAAAGTTTTTTAAGTTTTTGGATTAATGTATTTTTTTTTAATTTTTTGTGGAAAACAGTGTCAAAGAAATTACTTATTTTTTATCAATATTTAAACTTTTACTATCTCTGTGTTTCTTAAATCGCTTCATTTTATTATTTTATCTATAAATCTTTGTATGCTTGCCTCGATCTTCACAAGCGAGCGCAATTTTAATTATAAATTTATTTATTTTTTTTTTATATTTACTTGCTACGTTGCCAATTTATTGCTTATCGGCTGCTACAAAAACGTGTTAACCATACTGTCGTCGTCTCTGCCTGCTCCCGCTCTCTCTCTTTCTCTCTCTCTGTGTTCCTATCACTCACTCTAACGCCTTCCTTATATGTCACTCTATGTCCTATTACTATGAATTCTTACGAAACTACAATATTTGTGACAAGTTTACACCTTTCAACTTGTCGCCCTTTTTTTTTTGGTGAGAACAATAAAGTTATAAAAGAAGTTTTTTCTTTAAAAAAAAAAAGGTCTCAACATAACGAGTAACTCATTACTTATAACGCTTATAAGAATTATTTTGTAAATATCAAAGTGAAAAAATCATTTGGTTTTAAAAATTAAAAAAAAAATTCGTTCATTTCATTAAAATGGTTAATTTCACAATTCAAATTATTATTATTCTTTTAATTGCTTATGCATTTATGTTTACATAAATATATATGTATATATTCATATAATATTTAAAATCTAACAAACATTTGCGTTGAATTGAAAATGGTGTACACACATACAGATTAGAAATGCTTATATTAAATGTATAATCAATTCAATATTAAATTTTAATTTTAATTTATTGTTTTTTTTTTAATATTATTTATTTCTAAAAATACACGAAACGTGGCAGGTTTAAAAATAAAGTGCATATTTATGTATGCATATGGGTGTGTGAGAGTGCCTACATACATAAATATATATATATTGTTAATGAGACATGAATAACTCATCAACTCATTAAAAAGTGTTTACAAAAACTAACAAATACAGTCTCATTTTACATGTACACACATTTATATATATTTATTTTTATTTTCTTCTTTTTCTTCGAATAACACTTCAATATAAAACTAACTAAAATACTTGAGATTATCGAAACAATTTTCGAGCATCTACTACACGTATATATGTATGTGTATATGAATGGATGTGTTTGCTTTTTTTTTTTTGGGAGGCCGTTGGAATGAAAATGCATAAATGGCTGTGTTTTATTTTCGTTTTCCTTTTTATGTAGTTTATATATATGTAGAATTCCTTTGAATCATATGTACCACACGCTCTTTTCGGTTTATGAAACCAACATTATTTTTATGTGCAATCAAGAAATTGTTTATATATTTTGCTTTTGAATTTTTATTAGTCGCTAATGCTTCGTTCTTTTGATTGTTTGTTTATAAATATTTACTTTTTGAGAGCAGAAAAAAAACTCTTGTGTCTGCCTGTGTGTAGCAATTTAAATTCATTTGAATTCTTAAAGTTTTTAAAATTACATAAAAAGAAAACTTAAAAAAATCGTTTTTTTTTTTCTAAATAGGCTAACAATAAATTTTAGACACACGCACTGCGCACCGTCTGGTTTGTGCCGCAAACTGCTAAGCCACACATTATTGGTTGGTGTGCTGCTGCTGCTGCTGACCGTGATAATGATGAACAGCGATTTTGGCGCCCACTCATGCCGTCGCCTTCTCCTGCTGCATTATCGCAGGCATTACTTGTGTTTCCCAATTGCTGTCATACGAATTCTTTCGTCACTGTTGTCGTAGTTGTTAGAAAATTTTCCAGTTAGTTTTTTCATTGTAATTCTTGTTTATGGCGCCGATGTTTGTTGTTGTTTTTATTTTTATTAATTTTTTGCTAGTGACACTTTAAAAATGTATCTCAATCTGTATTACTTAGTCTTGCTCCGTAGCACCCGGATAATAATATGGCGGTGGGCGTTCATATTCGGATGCAGGTGGTGCCATTGGTGGATTTTGGTATCTCGGTGGGCCGCCATCCCAATGTCTGCAATGAAAGTTGTTGGTAAATAGAAGAAGAATACAATTTTTCAATGTCTAAAAATAAACCAATCTATGTATGATGTATGTATGTATGTACATTATATTAAGTAAATGCATGAAACACAAAAACAAATGATGTAGCGGAAGCGTTGCAACATTTAAGCCTCTGTAGTAGCAAATGATTTTGTAATGTTCTTAATTAATACAAAAGAGCAAAACATACATACATATAGTACAAGAAGGCAATTGATACTCATACATAGTAGACGGATTCTATTGCTTACACAAATTTGTGTTCGAAATTAGTATGTTTTGAAAATTAGCATATTTTCTTTGTTTTGAATATTTTACGATTATGATAATACTGGTGATGATGATGAGTATCGTGGACGCATGAATTCTATATCTGTGCAGTGGAGTAAGCAAATTTTTACAGGCGATTCAATAAATATGTTTGAATATTCGCAATAATATGTACCTGCCTAAACTTCAAAATACAAACAAAAAATATTTAAAGTTATTGCTATTTGACGCTCAAAACTGTATAGGCGTTTGCATACTTCGAGAACGAAGACATATTTTTAGGTTAGGCGAAGTTATTTATACAATATTTCGACACTCCAGGCTTTCTACTCTTTTGACCCTTCTTCATATGATTGTTGAAACCCGTTATTTAAGTATCTGGCGGAATCGAAAGCACTGGAGTCACTTCGGAACATCGAAGAAAACCTTGTCACTTTGAAATACATATTGACATAACCTCAACGATATTTAATACTGCTCTCCATATACATACACATCTTTTACCACCACACTTGCTTTTAATTTTATATATTTAAAGCGTTTTCCAATAAGAGATTTTATTTTAATATTTAAAGAAACTTTTTCCTTTCAACGTAGTGGCGTCTTATTGGAAGTAAACGTTGTCCAGATTAATACCATCCCATTCCGGCCATAAAAAATCATTACTCATTTTGGGCAATCCATCCATTTTCGAATTAGTCCGGACCATAAACCGCACCAAACAGTTACACGTTGAGGTTGGAGAGGCTTTTCGACAATAAATCTTGGGGTTTCCAAGCCCCAGATGTGCTTATTGTCGTAGCCATCGAGGTAGAATTGGGCTTCATCATTAAAGATGACTTTTCGATGAAATTATCATAGTAAATACAAATGTTGTTTTCAATTAATTTTCTATAATTTTGGGTGTTGACTGGGACAGTAATCGAGCCCATGACCTTCCGCATGGTAGTACACATTGGTAACTACTCGTCTATTTCGATCGCCTTTTTAATTCCATAAAGGCTTTAAAAATAGTTGTTTTTTCCACCTAAAACTCTTCAAATCAATTAAACTAAAAATTTATTCTAAAAAAATATATGTAAGTATGGCAGACGTGAGTTTCCCATTTTGCTTGTGTGTTTTAAAATTTTTTTTATGTACAGATTGGATAAAAACACAAAAAAGTTAAAAATTAATAACTAAACGTGTAATGAGCATAGACTTCCGCAAGCGTTAGTAATAACAGAAATATTAAAGTAAATAAGCGAAAAAAGATGTTAGAAATTCTTTAAACCGTTTCTCCGTGAAAGAGTTAAAAAAAGCTTAATACATTAATCAACGCACCACCATTACATCATCATCATCATCATCATTATTATTATTGTCACCGATAATGCATCATCACCATCGTCAGTGTTTATTAGAACCTAATAGAAACCATCGCCCGCCAAAGATCGTGGCCTCGTATCAACAGAGCCAATAATATACTTAGCGCTAAGAAAATTAAGGTAAAAATTAAAAAATATATATGTATGTGAATATTTATGAAAAAGGAAATAAAAAATTAAGTACACTAAATATTAAAAAAATCTAGCGAGCTCATATATTTATTTAGCAAAAAAAACAATAAAAAAAAAAAAACAAATTACGTTTAACGTAAATTGACTTTAAGCAAGCTTTTTTTTTTAATAGCAACTAACTCAAGCAACATTAAGCCAAAAACTGTAAGGCACTTACTATATATTTATTAATTAATATAATCTTATATAAACATCTATTTCTTTCTTCCTAAAACTACTTACGCTTAAAGCAAATATGAATGTTTTTGGAAAAAGGACTTTAAAAACCATTAGCAGTATATATTCAAAGAGTAGCAAACTTACTTGGGTGCCATATCGTTGTAACGCGTATCACGCACACCCACAGTTGGTGGTATACCATGCGCCGAGGAGGGAACAGGTTCCTCGTAGTATTCACGACCGCGTCTACGATCTTTATTCTTTCGTCGCTTGTTCTTTGGACCACTGTAAAAAGTTAGAATTGAAAGTGTATAGTTTATTGTTAAATAAATAAGGGAAATTGTGTGTTGACTAGTAATAAAAAAAATTTGTGTTCAAACTAAAGACCAGAGGAATATAAAATGATAACAACTAAATGCATTAACAAATAATTTTTTTCTAAAATTTTTTAATAAAATAAATATTAATTTATTACGAAGTTAATTTGTAAGCTAAAGCATGTCTCTAACAATTACAGTGCAAATTATTTTTTATAGTTTTTATTAAGGTTACCAGCAACATACAAATTTTTCATACGAGAAATTTAGAAATTTAAAGTAAAGAGCAAAAGTCGAAACCTATGACATTCGCTCATACATTTATATATAATTTATTTAAGAATTAATTTAATAAATACCAGAAAATTATTTTGATGATTTACATATTCAGTTGAGTCATTTTTCTATTGTTTCTCTATTTACGCCGCTAAAAGTAGTTTTGTGGAGTACTAAATTTAATTCATATTAAATTTTTCTATAAAAAAAACCCTTTATTGAGGAAAAATATTACATTTTGCTGCGTCATAAATTAGATATTGAAAATAAATTAAATTTTCAACATCAATACAATCAGCTGTTGTCCAAGACAGTATACTCCAAACACATAACCTGGAATATGCCTAAGGAATACTATATTTTTGATAAGGCAAAAAACTTTCATAAACACGTATTCCCTTTCTAACAGCCTAACAGACTGAACACACAATTGAAATGCAATATAAACATGTATTTGATGCATTTAATGCAAAACTATTTTTCTTCAAGCACATAACCTCAAATTTTCTATAATTGAATATATATAAAACGCCTAATATTATATATAATATATATTTTTTGAAATACAAATTTTTAATCAATTGCACAAAGAAATAAAACCAAAATACAAAAAATAACAAATTCGAAACATAAACAAAACGATAAATAGAAAACGCATATAAACAATAGGTGGAAGTGTCAGTTATGATATGTATGTATGAATGTATGTATAAAAACTTGTGTTAAGACATACTTTTAAATATTCACTTACTTTGCCAATGGAATGTGATCACGTTCACTATATGCGTCATACAAATACTCCCTGAAAATTGGTATTTGCAAAATTTTTGTTTTTAATCATAAATATATAGGACATAAACATTATGAGAAGGAATCAGCGTGCATGCAAGAGGACAGAGGAAAAATGTGTATTAATATTACAGAGTAATTAACCAAAAGAAATAAGAATTGTATCAGTTAGTAGTTTTTTTTATTTAGTAGATGAATAATTGACTTCTTAGTATAATATTAAGAAAAGATATGACTAAATCTAAATACAAACTAAAATGTTATTGTCTAATAAAATGTAAGAAAAAACATAAATATACATTCGACTCTTCTAAGTGTTTTATATAAAAAAATGCCTTATCATGAGAATGTCATAAACTTTACGTCTGTGAGGCATTCTTTGTACTCAGACATTATTTTAACATTTATTTTTAGAACTATTGTTTCGATTATTTATAAACATCCTAATAACTTTTTGGAACACAAATTAAATGTAATATTATCAGTATAAAAAAGTGTTATTTGGTTTTTAAATGTGTGCTAATATAAAAATTAAATTACAAAAGATTGATGGTATAACATGGCGCATGCATATAAAAAGATTGCATGCATTATGTATTATCATACATAATAAATAAAATTCTGTAAGCTTCACACTTACGATTCCACCAGCGGACCAGGATATGGATCAGATTTCTGGTATAAGCTAGCCAATTTCACGGCTACCACCAGCGTTGGCAAGAAGAGCACAATACAAAGAGCGGCACCAGCCCAGAAACCATTCTGTGAAAAGCGAGAGAATTATTAGCTGCATTTAATTACATATATATTTTGATAATCAAACTCACCAATGGATCTACAATAGCGCTACACAACGACACCACGCCAGCATCGTAGACATTCGCCAATGGCGCACACAAACCGATTTTCTTCTCTACAGCCTGCACAACCATACGCAAATAGTTTTCAATTTCGCTGGCAAAATACTGTGTCAAATTGATGGCTGTATCTTTAACGAATTGCCGACCATCGACGCGGAAGAACAATTGCGCACGCTCAATTTCATTGACCAACAACGGTATGGATTCATGGAATGGACGATCCTTATAGCGCAGACTGTAATCCAAATCATTTGCAAGGCGTATAAGTTCCACAGATTTATTTTTCATTGGTATTACCCAATTCTGTTCGTAAGTCTCCAAGTGCAGTGCTTGATTACGCAGACTGACCTGTACATCTTTCATATCTTCACTCTTATCGATTTTCTTCGCTGTCTGCAATAACTCTTGAGCAATTTCAGTTAACGAATGTTTTGTTATCGTATCGTTGAGATTATCTATATATTGTGCGGAATCGAAATTTTTCAATGCAGAATCGGCAAGACTCAATATGCGTTGTTTATCTTCAGGACTCAATATTTGTATGTCACTATCGTCAAAGGAAATGCCATCAACGAGATCATCCAATGTCTGATTGATTTTATATTGTGCTGGATAATCTTTAATTTCGTGTATATCAATACGATTATGTATGTGTAACACTTCGTAAATTGTCTGATTCCGTTGACAAGCTGTGATCACATGGGAAATGCGTAGAGCTGGTAAGCCACCTGAGGTTGGTTTGCCCTTATTTTGTTGCGGATAAAGCACGTTATTCAAATTAATAGCGTTATCAAAATGTGCGAAAATATTGTCGTTTTGAGGGTCCCTGTGAGAAGGATAAATAAATAGTAACGAAAACAATTTTTTGAGGATATAAAATGTGTTGACCTACTTTAATGGAAGACATACGCCACGATAGGCGATTAGACCGATCAAAAAGTGCACCAAAGTGATTAAAGCAATCGCTGAGATAAACAGGAAAATAAATGTTACAGCGCTATAAAGAAAAACAAAAACATTATAGAAGATATTTTTGCTCTAAAATATGTCTAATGTCTTACAGCATCAGGAAACGTGAGCCGGAGCCTTTATTGCAGCAATCGTCGCCATAACCGTCCGGGCGTTTGCCACATATACCGCATAACAAAGCAGCAACAACGAAAACTAAAATCTGCACAAATGGCAAATTTTTTATTTAGCATTAACGCCAAACATTTGTAAAATGCAACCATTGTCTTACCGTCAATAATATCGAACATACTGCTATGCCGAAATGAAATCTATACGGTCCATATTCATTTAAATAACCATCAGCAACACCGGTATATTTGTGAGTATTATCTTTGATAACCTGTGAAACTTTGTTAATTTCCATTTTGATGCTATCTGAGGCCTTTTTGAAAGCATTTCCTTTGAAAAAGAAAAATAATAATCACATTGCAGAATTTGTACAAGTATGATATGTATAAAAATAGGATGTAATTTGCAATATTCTTATATGCATATCTGTAGCCATCTCACCTGCTTTGTTTATTGAATCAATCACTTTTGGTGTATATTTCGCAATTGTCGTATTGAGATGTGCGCGCATTTGATTAAGCATATCACGTCCACGTTTACCAGCCGAGGCTATGTCCTTACTAATCAAACTATCCAAATTATCAATGATGTCGGTTACATCAGGTAGCTGTTGAATAAATTTCGATATTAATGATTTTAAATCTTTTTTTATTAAAAATTGTATATTCATATAAATTAAATGTAATTGTATTATAGGATGTTTTGAAAAATTATTATGAAAAATGTTACCTTTGGAAAATAGCGGTCTACCATCTGATAGCATTAAATGAGATGAATTATTTCATTTAGAATTATTTAAATCAAAAATATGCAATACGAGAAATTTTAAAGGAAAGTATCAAATTAAATGAAATGTATGAGATGTCATTTGAATTTACTAGCCATATATGAATTAACTAAATATAATATGAACGTTCGGGAAAGCCACATATATTTTAAGCTCCATAGTTAATTTTTTCAAATTGTATTCTTTTTTTGCTACTTTAACTATTTTTTAATTTCTTATTTCTTTAATTAAATTTTATTTCAAACTTAATTTCTTCATTTTTTTATTTTTTTATTATAAGCTAATTTTTATTTATCGTGAATTTTTTAATACTTCAATTTCTTTACATTTTTGAAAGTTAATTTAAATATTCATAAAATAAATAAATTTATTTATTTTTTTTTATTCTATTAAAATTTTTCTTGTCTTTCTAGCTTTTTTAGTTTTCTAGCTTTTTTAACTTTCATAATTTTTAGTTTCTTTGGTTTTTTCAAAAATTTTTTTATGTTATATTTTTAATTTTTTAGCTGTTGTTCTCTTTTCTTTGGTTTTAGTTAATATTTGAGTTTTTAGATAGTTTTATTTCATTTTATTTATATTTTTATTTCGTTTTATTTTTATTTTCTTTTTTATTCATTTAACATATTTTTTGCTTTTCTATTTTTTCCCTAAACTTACTTTTTTATTCCTCTTTATTTTCATTTCGTTTTTTTATTTTTACTTTCTTTTTATTTATTTGACGATGTTTTTGCATTTCTACTTTTTATCTATATTTACTTTTCTCAAAGTTATTTTTTTAACATTAATTTTCTAGTTTTTCCAATTGTCTTCCTTTTTAATTTCTCCTTATGAATTTTTTATTTTGTTCTTACGTAATTAATTAATACAATAAAAATTACTACGGATTTGAAAAATTAGAAAATAATTTGTATTTAACCAATATATATAATCTTAACAAACAAATTTTTTTTGTTAATAAACATTTTTCGCTTACCTGATCATAGTGTATACCGTTAGCATCAAGCTTGCCGATTTCATATTTGTTTAAAACATCCTGACATGCCTTATTGTTGCATTTCGTAAGCATAACTAACAACTCACGCTTAACGCCCCGCAACCCTAACAAAAAAACACCAAAATTTTCATTACAAAAAGAAAAGGAGAAAATAAAATAAAATCGAACTTTACCATCGCTCAACTGTGATGCATAAACGCGCAAATCATTAGTGATGCTTTTCATTTTCTGTAACTTTATTTTAAGCTGCGGCAGTTTTTCAAGAAAGTCTGTGAGATAAATCAACGAAACGGCCATGGACTTTTGCTCCAACTCTTTTATGATGAAACTTGAGGTTTCTGTGGAGAGCGAAAAGAAGAATGAAACGATTTAAAGAATTTTATTACGCCCTTTACACCTACCGCGCATAATGTTTTCCAGCTGTATGGATAATTGTTTATAGTTCGTTACGAGTATGTGATCGATTTGTCCCGATGTGGTTTGCAGAAATTTGCAGGTATCATTGCTGGCATCACGTACACGATTTGTGCTATTCTCAATACCCTGTTGCATATAACTGTTTGTTGCAAATGTGACGATGACACCGAAGCTGTTGGGAAGAAGTGCAGGAATTGGGATAAAACCAGCGGTATTTATGTATTAGTGAAAATGTAAAGAAAAGCGGTAATTTTACAGGAAATGTAAACCGATAATTGCAATACTTCGCTTCCGCTTAACTATTATATTTTCATTTACATTGTTAAGTTATAAGCGCATAGGCATATGCAAACAAACAAATCACTTAAGTATGCACGGTTTGTTTCTATGCCAGTTTGTTTTGTTGGCATTTTTGTTTTTTTTTTTTTTGTTTTCATTTGTGCCGTAAATAAAAAAATACCCTACTTACATCAAACCTGTTGCTAATACTATAAGCAAAAATCCCAAGAACACACGGCGACAGGTGTCATGTTTCTTGTCAAACGGCTCCGAGCGGCCACCACAAGCACCAGCACAACGGCAGCAACAAAAGCACAGACTATGCGGAGAAAACGAACAAAAAAAAAAGCAAAAGCAAATATAATGATTTCTAAGTACATGTTTTAAAGAAAGTGTAGCCTGTCTGTTCGTTTATTATTATTCTCTCTTTTTTTTTGCTTCTGAATATTAAATAAATATATTTCTTGTTTTCCTACCCAACAACTGGCATTGTGACAATTAGTAGACCGACAAATAGAACAATTAGCCATATTTTCCAATAATCTTTAATGAAATCAATCCATTCATGGCGTTCAACTTTCGGACCAATTTCGATGTCGTTTTCCTTGACCACGAGGTAGCCTGGAGAGAAAAAAGAACATTAAAAAACCGTTTTAAAATTAATATTACTTTATTGATAATTGAAAAAGTTGATATTTATATACAGAAATTCAGTCCACTACAGATCTAATACACTTTCAAAACTCTGTTATACGTATAAATAAATATTTTTGTACTGAATTCTACAACTTATTACACAAACTGGTGGACGAGCTTAGACGAAAATCGCTTCAGCCGTTTGCCGATGGGCAGTAACAATTGTTGCCAGTTTCTACTGAGCCGCATTCGGTGAGACAAAAAGCCAGTAAAATTTGCAAAGCAAAAGCGCAGTTTTGACTTTCTGTTACTGGCTAATTCCTTCCGAGATTTTTAACCGAACAGAGCTATTTATTTTCTGCCTCTAACTATCTGCTCTAACTGTAAACATACTGTACTGTTATTTTTGCTCTTACGACACTGACACTGTGACACTTCCCAACTAAATATTTGTAATTCGTCAAGTTGTGTGACCTGTAAAGCTGTAGCATGTGCTATGTTAATCACCAACTCACCTTCTGGCAGTGGATCTTTACCAGTAAAGAACCATATAATTTTATGTGTTATCTCATAGAGCGGCTGCATGCCACGCGCATTATAGCTTGTCGAGCTGACATACGTGACATTTTCATTCCACTCAGCATAATTTGTCGGTTTGAGATTCAATTCATTGCCCAAATCGAAGGCTTGAGCCGCCGGTAGGTGTTGGCTGGCGAAGATGCTCAACACCGAAAGCACAAAAAGCGCACTCCAGCTGGATATATGGCAACATATGTTAGTTGTTCGTGTTGTTTTTCTATTTGTTATTGTTGTTGTTATAATGCTATTACGCTGTTGTACTGTATTGCCGGCTACCAATAGCATTTTCACAGTTTTTTTATTTGTATTTTGATTTTTAATAGATTTTTGGTGCATTTTTCTATTGGATGATTTTCAACTTTTTGCAGTGAAAGTCAAAAACTTTTCTTTCGCAAGTGTTTTTTTAAAACATTTATCCTTTGGTGTTTTTCTTTTAAAATATTTTTAATGAATTTTTGCTTGTTGTTATTTTTATACAAAAATGAGCAATCGCAAAGGTTATTAATGCTCTTGAGTTGCTACATTGATGATTTGTTGTTGTATTGCATGTTGCCGCTAATAGATTTGCAAGTGCTGGGGTGTTTTTATTTATTTAATTTAGTTTTTATATTTTTCTGTTGATTGACTATCCGACTAACTGAGTGACTATGTGTACGTATGACTGATTGATAGCTTATGTTGCGGTAGATTTGGCACACGAACGTTGGATGCGCGCTCCGTACTTGTAGTTACGCTTCAGCAATTAGCTACAAATTGCGTTTGCTGCAATGAAATGAATAGAAAAATCATTTATTAATTAAAATATCTAAATAAATATGTACATATATTTATTTGTTATTATCAGTGTGGCAATAAAAGATAATGAAATGCATATTTCTTTATTCTTTACACAAATAGTCTGTACATACATATGTATGTATGTATGCATGTATACATGTATACACGTGTCTATGGGGAGGCACTTGGATATCACCTGTGCTTACGCGATCACGATGTTCTTATATTTATTTATATACAGTTATTTCGAGTGGTGTTGTATACATATTTGAAGTGTCTCTTAAAAATTTAAGTGTAGCAGAAAAATCACCTTCTGCACGCATACATACATACGAGGGACGGCTGACTTTTTCGCAGCAGCGAAATACACTTTTCACATCGTGAATACAATGACTTTATACCGCTGAAAATGTCAGCCTTGAAATCCAGCGCAGAATCACACTTGCCAGCAGATGGTACTTTGGACTGAGTAGGCAATTGACAAGCAAAATCCTCTCCCGACGAACGAAAGCCAAACTCTATAAGTCCCTCATCGTTCCCGTACTGCTATATGGTCCGGAAGCATGGACGATGACAACATCTGATAAGACGGCCTAAAGAGTTTTCGAGAGAAAGGTTTTACGTAAGATTTTCGGTCCTTTGCGCATTGGCAACGGCGAATATCGCAGACGATGTAACAGTGAGCTGTACGAGTTATACGGCGACATTGATATTACTAAGCGATTCTAGAAGCAGTTGCAACGCTGGCTAGGTCATGTGGTCCGGATGGATGCGAATATTCCAGCTTTGAAAGTATTCGATACAGTACCAATCCGTGGAAGCAGAGGAAGAGGAAAGCCTCCACTCCGTTGGAAAGACCAGTTAGAAAAGGACCTGGACCTAATAGCAAAAAAAAAAGAAACGAGTGGCGCAAGGTAGTTAAATCGGCCAGTAAAATAAATAAGTATACCACTGAAAAGATATTCTTTTGATTTAGATATCACTGTCGTTTAAGAACCTTCGTCCCCAAAACTCTTTTTTAAATTAAAAAAAGTCGTCTCCCAGAGGCTCGGACTGAAGGGTAGATGATGAATTTCTGTAAATCCAGTAGCTTTCAAGGCGCCCCTCGCAATCCGAGTGGTGTGAACAGGTGCGTTGTCTTGAAGAAACAGCACGCCGCGCATTAACTTGCCTCAAGCGTCTGACTCAACAAATTAGAGTAAGGATGGCCGTTCATTGTAGTTCCCTTTGGCAAGTAATCAATTAATCATTTTCCCTAAACTATCCCAGAAAATATTAGCCATAATCTTCGACGCCGACTTTTCCACTTTGAATTTTTTTGGTGGCCTTTCCTCTTTTTCCACTGCATCGACTCATGTTCGGACTCGGGATAATACTGACGAGTCCAAGTGTCATAAACTGCTACAATGCGGTTGCAAATTTCATCCAAATCATCTTGGCACAACTCAAAAAAAACCTTACAATTCTGCAATCGTCGCTGCTTGTCGAGCGGCATGAGCATTCGCGGTACTCAACGAGTACTAATTTTTTTCATATTCAAATGCCTCAGCGAAATCTCTGCAGCTCATTCTTAGCTAGTCTGTAATCCTTCTTTTATCTGCCACGATCTAATTATACGATCAGCCAATAGTAGTTTTTCGACTTTCTCACCATTTTCTTCGGACACGACCGTCGCTGAGCGCCGCGGGCGGGGGTCATCCTCGCAGGTTTCTCTTACTTGTTGAAACAACCGAGCCTATTTTTTCACCATCGTATACGAAGAGGCAAAGTCCTAAAGAACCGATGACAACTCTTTAAAAATTTCTTTCGGCGTACTTTCTTTTTTTGCACGGAAATTAATCACAGCTCGGTGCTACAAATTGAGATAAAGTCAGCCGCCCCTCGTATATGCATACACACTCACGCCGTCTGCAACCAATCAAATGAAATGTCTTTGTGTAAAATGCATTGCTATTGTAAGTTTTAAAGAGAATTTGTTCGTCACTTGAATTATTTGGAATTTGAATAGTTTTTTTTTTTTTTATTTAACTGAATTCTTAAACTTTAACTGAGTAAGAAATTCATTGTTTTTGTTATAATGGGTATTTTGAAATACTGCAAAATATCGTGAAGTATGGAAGATATTCGTATTAATAATTTATTATCAGTCATTTAAGCTTCGAGGAATTGTGAAATATATATATCGCAGTAGCCGAGTGGTTAGCATTGCATTCTGTCATTCGGAAGGCTCGGGTTCAAGTCCCCGTGCGACCAACATCCAAAAAGTTTTAGAAAATTAATTTAAATAAAACATTAAGCGATTAAGTAGTGTCTATGTGCTCCCTTGCGTAGCGTTAAGGTTCTTCAACCCATGCGTACTGAACTCCATAAGGCTGGAACGGCGCACATAGCGAAAGATACAGCACCTCAAACGGCTGAAGACTGGGCACTCGCAAGGTTAATGGTACAAAGCTTACATAGCTCGTGGAGATAATATCTCGTAGAGCCATAAAGAACTTCTGTTCAGTGGCAGTAATACACTGGACTGTCTGCAAATCGAGCCCTGCGGGGTAGGGATTCAAACATTTTTTCCGCGGTTAAGCATGTCTGTTGTAAGAGGCGACTTAAATACAAAAGTTCCAGCGACAGTCGGGCCTTTATACTGGAACGACCGGGTCAAAGACTGTTACTCCCACAACATGCCCCAAAAACTAATCTGGGGAATATTTTTACAACTACGACTGTCTGCAAGCCATCGAGCTTCTCAGAAAATATATGCTTTAGAAGTTTGAAGTATTCCTATAGGTCTGCTCTAGACATGCCAAAGAGACTACAAGACAGCTCTAACGACCTTTGACTAACTTCTGAGTCCACGGAAAAAGTGATGTTTACAGTGTTTTCGGGTAATACAAGGAAACGTTTTTATATTCGCGTAATAAGAGGGTTTTAGAAGGGTGATTAGGTTCATTAGGATCGTAAGGTGTTCAATAACTAATTTTTAGTATAAATACGAGGATTCGTTATTATCAGACAACTGTCTTTGAACTACCGTCCTCCAAGCAACGTAAACGAGAGTGAAAAGTGAAATAAAATAAATGGAATATCGTACCGTTATCACTTGCTACCATACTGAATGCGATGTCTTTGGTTCACGGCGACACAAGGTTGGGAAAAAGTTACGATGTAACTACGGCGAAACTCAGCGAAAAAGTTGAAAAAATTGTTCTCGACTAGAGAAGAAGTGGTGTTATATAAGCAAGTTTTTTAAGGCATGCAAAGAGGTATGGGTACTCACGGCATGCTCTACATACGCTGATTATGTATAAGCAAGAGTTAGTTTACTATAGTATCTGGATCATAAATATGGCAATATTACTCGGCTCTCTCGGATCAACTTGAACTCTATGACTGACTAAACCTACGAAATAAATCCTCAGCTACATTCTTCGCCAATTGGACAAAGTTGTACCGGCATAAGCTGAATGCAGAAGAGAAAATTCCGAAAATAAAAATCCCCAATTTACTGGATGTCACATTCGACAGCCAGCACTTTTTCACTTCGTGGTTGGATTCTGATGACAACATACACTAAAAGGAAGAATTGTGCCTTAGTCATATATATATATATATTAAATACCAAAGAAGAAACAATCAATTAAATATTAAATAAAAATTTATATGAATCTTTTTTTTTTCTCGAATAAATATTTTGTTTTTATTTATTATTTTTTATCTCTAGAGGTTAAATATTTATAAGAGCTGGGCGTGACTTCTTTAATATTTGTATAATCAATAACTGATAACACACCAAAAAGATTCTCTATGGAAATACAATTTGCATATAAATATACAAACATATTTGAATTTACTTTTATATGTGCATATATGTATGTGTATGTGCTTTGCCTACGAAATAATTATAAATAAAATTTTACCAACTTCAAAAACTGATGCAATACAACAAAAGCAAAATGACCTGCTGTTAGCGAGCACAAACAGTTATTTTACAATAATATCAATTGGTACTTTGAAAACAAAAAACAGCAACAACAACAAGCGAAGCAAAAAGTAAAAACGTCGTAAAATAAATTGTATTCATAAAATAAAACCGAAGATGGAAATTCTAGTAGAAAGCAAGTGCGCTGCCTTCTTTCGAGCCTTAAATTTTGTAATTATATGCACATATACAGGGTGTTGCATCTTTTATGTCGGTATGTAAACATTGAATAACTTTGATTTCTATTGCGGATTGACGACAACCGATTTCTATAAATGATCGATAAGAATGATAGTTTTTGAAAATAATATCAATCAAATGGCTACCTTTATTAGCAATTACAAAATTTTTCTCCTTTATTTTGCGTTTACCATTGCCTTTCTGAGAATTTCAGGTGTTATAGCGTCGATTTCAGCACGAATGTTTGCCTCGAGCTCATCAATAGTTTGAGGCTGGTTGACGTAAGCCTTGCTTTTCAGATAACTCCATAAAAATAAGTCCGGGAGGGTTAAATCAGGTGATATTGTCAGATGGTGCCGTTTGCCGCGATATTTTTTCCGATATGCACGATGAGTTAACACAATGGAAAGACTGTTTTCGATATAAAGCGTCACTATTTCAGCGCGTTTCCAAAACAAATCTGATGTAATCGCTCGGTTGGTAAATGCGAGAGTTATTCAGCGTTTACATACTGACATAAAAGGTGGAGCACCCTGTACATTTGTGCATATTTAAATATAATATATTTTACGGAATAATTATTACTAATAAACACGTGTGGTAAAACAAACGTACCTAAATCTGATATCGACATATTAATAGTAAGTCAAGAAATGAGTAATTTTTACAATAGATGGCTTCGGTGATCTGTATCATTACGCTAGACGGCGTTAGAAAGATGATATATGATACATATAGTATGTACTAGAAGAGATAATGGAAAAAGTGTTGATCACTTCACTCAGTAGGGTTTGCGCGCTAGTCAAAGAGGGACACCAGCAAAGAGAAA